GGTTCAGGCCACCAGGGTCAAGGATCCATCTGCATCATTGGGGGAGGTGGTTCAGGCCACCAGAGCCAGGGATCATCCTCTTTTGGAGGAGGTGGCGGTGGAGGTGGTTCATCTGGTTCTGGAGGTCTGTCCATGCAACAGCAGACCCAGCCAATCTCCTGGCCACCAATGAGTAAACACAAGTAGTGCCTCCAGAAGGGACTCTTGGATCAAGAAACCCAAGATATAATCATGCCTCACATTTCCTTCTCTATTCAATTTATGAATATTTGCATTATTCCTTTCTCCTCTTCCTTGGGATTTTTCTCTTCAGCTTTCCAGCTGAGGAGAACCTCTGGTGTTGTGCATCAAGAACTTCCAACCAGGATTGTTTCACATCTGTTATCCACCTCAATTTTCTAGTGCTTGCACAAGACAATAAAACTTGCAGTTCTGGAGAACTTCAGTGTCTGAGTGGTTGGATTTTGCTTCATATTATGAATTTTTCATTCATTCCAATTTTACATTTTTCTTCTGAGTTGATGTTGTTCTAATAAAGTTCCAGAGCTCAAGAGCCTTCAAAACCCACCTGTAGAAGAGAAGTTGGATTCACTAAATATTCTTAGGTCATTTAATGGCTGTTGCTATTTGTGTGACTTTGGTCCATCAGATAAGGTACCACAAAGATAAATATGGCAGGTTCTCTACCTCCTCAAAATGTCACGTGATGCCCAAGGAAATTTTAAATGGGTTAGGAGAGAAAAGATGGAAAAAATCTGGTTCTACAAGACCTTACAAGGTCCTAGTGCAGGTGTGAATCATAGAATCATGGAATGGTTTGGGTTGGAAGGGACCTGAAAGCTCATCCAGTCCCAACCCCCCTGCCAGCAGCAGGGACACCTTCCACTAGACCAGGTTGCTCAAAGCCTCATCCAACCTGGCCGAGAACACTTCCAGGGAGGAGCAGCCACAGCTTCTCTGGCCAACCTGGGACACTGGCTCACCACCCTCACACCAAACAATTTCTTCCTCACATCTCAGCTCCATCTCCCCTCTGCCACTTTCAAGCCATCACCCCTTGTCCTGTCACTCCCTGCCCTTGGCCAAAGTCCCTCCCCACCTTCCTGGAGCCCCTTCAGGTACTGGGAGGCCACTAGAAGGTCTCCCTGGAGCCTTCTCTTTTCCAGGCTGAACAGCCCCAACTCTCTCAGCCTCTCCTCATAGGAGAGGTGCTCCAGCCCTCACATCATCCTCATGGCCTCCTCAGGAAGGAGGAAGCTGAGGTCCTTGCATATGCATGGTGCATGAGATCTCATTGCTCTTGGTGGAAGAGAAATGAGGGGGTCTTTCCAAACCTTCCTCCAGCCCTGAATCCCTAGTGCAGCCAACATCAAGGCCAAGACTTCAGAAAGCCCCTTCCAAGGGCTGAGACACTAAACCTGGGGTAACTAAGGATCTCCTCGTTCCCACAGGAGTAAAACACAGCTCCAGGTATGAGTCTTCAGAGGGAGTTTCCCTCTGGGAAGTGACTTCTTTGATGTGGTGGATTCTGGCAATTAACAGGGAAAGGAAAATAAACCTCCTGCCTGAACTGTTCTACGTGAGGCAGATGACAGATGCCTGGAAGTATCCCAGAAGAGACAAGAGTGACCCACACCTCTAGCGGGTAAAAGAGCTTCACGTTTACATGTCCCTCTACCCTCTGGGGACCTCAGGGATGCAAACATTATTAAAACATGTCCAGTTGAGTTCTTCCTGCGAGTGGTGCCACTGCTAGCCTAGGACCAAGAAAGCTGAGAGCCAAGTTTCAGAGGTTCTCAAGGTGACAGCAGGAGCACAGAGCATCCTCAGCTCTTGTTGCTTCTTCAGAAACACCAGAACCACCTTCCAAATTGAGATGAATTCCTCCTTTTGATTAATATCCATCAAGATGATGATTCACAAGGTGGATGCTGGATCTGGTACCTTCTACCTGCAGCAAGTCCTTTCTAAAATAGACATCACCCTTCCTCCCAGAGGCAGCGTAAAGCCTGCCTGACCTCCATGATGTCCATAGTGGTGCGCTCAAACCAGAATCATAGAATTGTTTTGGTTGGAAAAGACCTGGAAGATCATTGAATCCAACCATAAACCAAACACTGCCAAGTTCACCTCTAAACCATGTCTGTAAACACCACATCTACTGGGCAGCCTGATCCAATGCTTGACAACCCTTTCAGCAAAGAAATTCTTCCTCACATCCCATCTCAACTCCCCTGGGCACAACTTGAGGCCATTGCCTCTTGTCCTGTCCCTTGTTCCTTGGTTGAACAGACCCACCCCCACCTCTCTCCATCCTCCTTTCAGGGACTTGGACAGAGCCACAAGGTCTCCCCTCAGCCTCCTTTTCTCCAGGCTCAACAACCCCAGTTCCTTCAGCCCGGAACTCAGCACACTTGTGCTCCAGACCCTTCCCCAGCTCCGTTGCCCTTCTCTGGACACGCTCCAGCACCCCCATGTCCTTCTTGGAGTCAGGGGCCCAACACTGAACCCAGTACTTGAGGTACGGTCTCACCAGTGCCCAGTCCAAGGGGACACTCTACAAACATGAGTCTCCACAGTTTCTTCTACTATCAATCTTCAGCCTGGCAGCATCTCCTAGCTTGAGTGAAGGGTGTTAGCTGGAGTCCCACCTTGAAAGTCAACCAGAGGAGCTGAGCTCACACGTGATACCTTGCAGCGAAACTGCAGGTAGCTTAGGAAGTGATGCACCGGAGAAGCATTGATCCGATTGGATGAGTCAGGAGAAGTGGGCTGAAGGAGGACAGTTTGTTTAGTAAATAAAGCCATCACCATTCCTTTGGATGCCTCACTTCCCACTCGGGAAAACTAGAAAGAGTATAAAAGTTGCTGGATCTCATGGGACTTCATTCGCTCAGCTTTGCTCTGTGGTAGACGTTGTTGGAGCTGAGAAGGGTAAGTCCAACCAAGGGATTGATTCTTCTCTTATTTCCCTGCTTGCAAAACGTAAAGACGTTGGTAAAGAACATCTGATGGGTGGTGGCTTGAAGAGCAGGGAGGTTGTGTTGATGAATTATAAATCTCCTGTGGATGTCAGCAGAAGCAGGATCATCTCTGAGCTACTGAAAGTCTGGTGTTTCATCAGCGATCAGAGCTTGAGGTGGAACATCTACAAGATAAAAGACTTGGAGTGATGGGTTGATTAAGTTCAGCAATCTGGGAATCTGTTAGTGAAAGGTTCTACGTGTGGTTGGGATCCCATGGAGCACAAAGATCATTGATCAACGACCAATGATCATTGATCCCATGGAGCACAAAGATCTAAGAACAAAGTGCTTAGAAGAAAGGAAGTTTGTTGGGTTTGGAGACTGTCTGGCAATGTCTTTGGACTGCACACAGGTCCTTCTGGCTGGGGGAAGATCTCATGATGATAGTGGCTGCTCTTGAGTAAAAAGCATGTTGTTTCTTACAGGGTCACTGCTTAAAGATGTGCTCCAGACAGACCTCCGGAGGCTGCCATGGAATGTCCTCCCAGTCCAGTGGATGCCACAGTGGAGGCTCTGGCTGCCCTGGAATGTCCTCCCAGTCCAGTGGATGCCACAGTGGAGGTAAAATTTTGACTCTTTACTGTCCTCCGGAGGCTGCCATGGAATGTCCTCCCAGTCCAGTGGATGCCACAGTGGAGGCTCTGGCTGCCATGGAATGTCCTCCCAGTCCAGTGGATGCCACAGTGGAGGCTCTAGCTGCCATGGGGGCAGCTCCTCCAGCCACCAGACACAGGGCTCCTCCTGCTGTGGGGGCTCAGGCTCAGGCAGCTACGGTGGGGGCAGCGGGGGCTCTGGCAAGATCATTGTCAGCTCTGGTGGTGGAGGAGGTGGATCCTGCTGCAGTGGGGGCTCCTCAGGCTACGGCATGGGAGGAGGATACAGTGGTGGCAGTGGAGGATCAGGACAGAAGATCATTATTAGCTCAGGTGGTGGAGGTGGAGGTTCATCTGGCTGCTGCAGTGGAGGATCCAGTGGTGGATCTTCAGGAGGCAAGGTCATCATTGGAGGTGGAAGCAGTGGAGGATCATCCGGATGCTGTAGTGGAGGATCCTTAGGCTGT